ATAGATTAGCATTTTTATAATTTATTTTTAATTATTAAAAAATTAAAAATTTACTATAAAAAATAGAACACTCACAAAGCTCTTAGTTAAAAAAAATCTTTGGCTTTGCATATAGATAGATAGATAGATAATTAAATTCTAGTGAATGGTTTATCATATTAAATTTTGAAATGGAAAAATATATGTTCTTTTTAAAAGTGATAAATTATGGAACAATTGCATTCTAGTGAATTGCTTCCATAATTTAAATTTTGAAATGGTTAAGCAAACTTTCCATTTAAAAGTCATAATTTATGGGATACTAAAGAGTTCTTTATGGGATAATTAGAATTTTATTTATATGATTAAATGAGAGTTAACCAATAAATTAGCCGATAGTGTTTTTTTTTTTTTTTGATATATAAATAATTTTAAAACTTAAAAAATTAATTCCTTTTAAAAGAAAAGGTTAATTAACTAGGTTATATAAATATGTATATATAGTATTGTTTTTTTTATTATGGAAAGCAATTCTTTAAATCATGTGTATTTTGTTAGGTATCAAATTTTCAAATTTGAATTTCTAAATCATAGGCGAATATTCATTAAATGCTTTGTTTTTAAATTTAAAATTTCAATTTTTAGTAGCCAATTAATGTTTTTCTTTTTTAAGAAATAGCCAAAAATCAACATAATTGGTTTGGAGTTTCGAAGCTCCCACAACCCTCATTTTCCTTATATAATATATACATAGATAGATGTGTTTATGATTTGTTTGGATGCTGGAAATGGAAGGAAGGTTGGTTTTCATTAAACAATCCAAGCTTGTTTTGGAATTTCATGTATTTATCTATTTTGCGAAAATTTTGGCTATCAAATGGATGTTTAGCAAAATACGGATCATAAACTCTTTAATCCATTCAATTAGAGAAAATAATTTCCTAATTTAATCCAATTACTGAAACGGAAAAAAAAGAAAAGAAAAAAAGATTAAGAAATTATCCAAATTAATCAGCAATTTATTTGGATAATAAATTAAATATATTTGTTCAGAGAAAATAGCTTTAATTAGGAATCATACGCGAAAGGTTTATCCTTGTATGAGAAAACAACACAGAATGGAGTTTTTAGTTCTCTCTCTTTCTCTCTCTCTCTCTCTCTCTCATTATTATTGTTTTTAGTTTTCAATGTATTTGTCTTGTACAAAATATTCAAGTATGATTTTTGGGATCAAGTTTTGACTGTTATAATGGTGAATTTAATTTTGGGAAATAGTGGAAATTTTGATAAATTCACATCAAAACATCAAATGTTGTCATTATGGAGAGCAATTGATGGTTGAAATTGATGAAGTATCTTACTTGATGAACTAGAACATGAAAAGAAAAGCATTTGAGTGTGTGTTGGTCATGATGGGTGAGTTAGTTGTTTGTGGAGTGCCCTCTTGAAAGATGAAGGGCACTACTATGCCAGTGGAAGAGAGCCAAGGGGAGGCTTAGCAAAGGAGAGGGAGAGAGAGAGAGAGAGGGTTACAATGGATAGTTTGTTTGCCGAAGGAGAAAAAGAGATGCAGTGGATGCCTCCATATGTGAGGCGAACTTCCTCAATATGAGCCGGGCTGAGCCAATTCAACTAAGGACAGGTGGCTCAACCACTTGGGCTAGACAAAATGTATGGAGCTGGGTCAACTTAGCTCGGGGGATGTATCATACGTGGGTAGAGATAGGTACGATGCATTCAATAGAGGTAGGTACGATATGGACCTCGAGGCATCACATCTTGTTTAAAACCTCTTTTTCTCTAAAATTGGTTTGTGTGCTCCTTGCCCCGAGGGGGAGGGGAGCTCGACGAATGCCCTAATGAACCACTGAATTCCATCCTCCAATCCATAAGTCCTTTGGTGATCCTGAGCGGAGTACGAGGGCCTTGGTCCCAACCCAAGTAACACAGTTGGAATGTTTTGATTCTTTAGGATTGTGACCTTGCTCGGTGGGACTACCCGAGAGCCAAATGACCGAGCGGGCCACACCTGAGTGTTGAGTAGAATCAAGTGCAAACCAGTCTGGCGAGGCCGAGTGTAGATCAGTTTGCTAATTGAACCACGTGTCATAGCACGTGACGTACACTACTTGCAAGATTATCCATCAAAAGGTGATGAAGCAGTGCCATCTAGCGGTGGTGGACCAATGTACCTACAATGCTTCAATTAAATTATGAATCAGTATGTATTTTGAACCACACTGACTTGCCAGCTTGAGCGTGCTTCATTTTGGAATGTTTATGGCGTGTTTGGTTGGAGGATTTGATGAACGATTTGGAAAGAGAAATGAAAAAAGTAGGTGAAATATGAATAAATCATACTTAAATTTCACCTAGTTTCACACACCTTTTCCCTTTTCCTTTTCAAATCCCTCCCCAAATCCCCCAACCAAACACAACATTACTGTTTTTTAATAACACGTGAGTGTAAACTTTCAGTAATGAAGTCATTATTTGAATAACTAGTGTTTTTCCTTTTAACTTGTTTATCATTATCACTATTTTGTATTTTCTGGTTGAAGGTATTTTTGCAATCAATATGTTTTGTACATGAGTGCAAGCACTGACTTGCCAGCTTGAGCGTGCTTCATTTTGGAATGTTTACTGTTTTTTAATAACACATAAGTGTAAACTTTCAGTAATGAAGTCATTATTTGAATAACTAGTGTTTTTCCTTTTAACTTGTTTATCATTATCACTATTTTGTATTTTCTGGTTGAAGGTATTTTTGCAATCAATATGTTTTGCACATGAGTGCAAGGTTCTACTATAAACGAAATGATCCTGTGATAGTTACCTAATAGGTTACACATTTATTTTATGTTAAAGCATAGACCAGCAAGACAAGTCAAAATTCTAAAAGATGGGATTATTCTATTTGACAACTCTGTGAGACACACTTTGTTGATGTGACAAGGACCCGTTTCACAAATTTTGCTGCTTTTTTAGCTTAAGATTTGTTTGCTGCTGCCTGATGTACTTTGGCAACATGTGGTGTTTACTATGACTTTTTAGGTTTTTAGCTCAAAATAAGCTAAAAAGACCAACCTTTTTGAAGCTGAGTTTGGGGTTAAAGCTGCAAAAACAGTTTTACCATACGGGGCCATTGTATTTGAATAATATTGTTTTAAATGATTGGGCATATAGTTTGTTATTGTTGTCAATTATGTTATATACTTAAAACTAAAGCTTAAATGAGCCTATTTAAATCTATGTACTTGTAAACTTGACAATAAATAAATATTGTAATCTTCATTCCACCTAGGAATTTTTTATTTTTTATTTTCTTATATCCATATAAGAGTGAGCCCTATTGGTTTCCTTAATAAATAGGGTCTGAGATGGGTATTTCACTAATTTGGTAGAGTGCTGGACATACAACACTGGGCAGATAGAAAGTGTATGTTATAATAATTAAAGCATATTTTTCATGTTGATTTATTCAATCTATGTAACGGATGTCATGACAATAGGTGATTCATGGTTGTGTACACTCAGTACTAAAAAGGATTGAAATGAAAAAAATTCTTCGCATATTGGAAGAGTTTAAAAGTAATTTGTGTATGTTTTATTATTAGATGTTGGCACAACTTGGCAGTGCCAATGCTATTTTTTTATGCCGTTAATTTGGCCAAATGTTTAGTGTTGCTTCTTCTTGCTAATAAGGTCTTAGCTAAAAACTAAATTACAATTATTAGCATGTTCCCAAAAGTTAAAGATATTTATGATCCTGGGGTAAAGACACTGATTGCATGTTGAAAGAATAACTACGATGTCGAACACCATTAAGTATGACAACCCAAAATCTAGGAACAGATTAAAGCCGAGAATTATAGCGTATGGTGGAGATTGAATGAAAATGTTCGAAATCCCTAAAACAACTCTCACAATTTGACCCACAACGATACAACATGATAGGTTTCAACTTTTAATCTGTCATACACTCATCGATATAGGGACCATCTTCCTTGTCACATTATTGTGGGTGAATTTGGGGATCTAAATTGTGGATTTCTAATATTTCTCAAGATTAAATACGTGTATTGTGGGGTTCATATGTGGAATGAATGTGGACCACATATTGGTATTTCTAGGTAAAATTTTTGGGTATGTAGTATTATTGTGTTTTTGATAACTTGTCAGGGCAGACTAATCCAGTTGACAAATCTCACTGCCCACTAGCACGGGGGGGTGGGGTTGTTGCAATTAAAGCAAGGGCAAAGTCCTATATGGACGGGCTCTAAGAAATTGTTTGCATCTAAGAGGCTTCAAACCTGAGACCATGAAGTGAGCACACCCCTAGGCCCTAGTCCTTGACTAACATGCCAATCTCTTGGGGTTTAGTATTACCTTGTTTAACATAGTAGTTTAGAAAATTTTCGAGCATAGCATTTTGGAAGGTTGCTGGGGAACTACTTCTACTTGGCTCACCATTCAGAATGGACATGGGCTCAAGACTTTGAGTAGATGAATGGTCATTTTGAACAACTTTTTTCTTTAAAGTTTATTTCCACTTGTTTTTGTTTTTGTTCTTGTTTTTTTGGCTAAAAGGAACCATTCTCTTTCCCCAAAGCTAGTTTGGTTGTCCTGCTTTCACAATTTTTGACCGCATTATGTAAACAATAGATGCATAATCGTTATATGTAACAATGTAATAATGACAAATTATTTGGCATGGAACAAACTTGTTATGATTTTATCAAAGTTCAACTTGTAGAAGGCCGGATCATACTAATTTATAATAAATACTAAATGAAAAAGATGTCCTGATTATGGCTGTTAAGTGCTGTTGTTCAACTTAAATTCCTTATTCTCAAACAATTGGACATTACTTTGGTTCTTATCTTTGATTCAGACATGGGGTGCGGTTAAGCAATGATTCCCCCCCACCCAATTTTTTTTTTTGTTCAGATCTTCATACCAAAAGCTTTATCTTTTTTAAATTACTAAATTAGTTCTGGTGACGTGTACTTTGATTTCAGATACATATTTGGTTCTCCTTGGCACTTTGTTGGAATGGTGGATGTGAAGAATGCAACAGAAACTTGTCCTCCTGAGTCCTCTGGTGTACCATCGTTATCCTGCCATAATGAAGATCATTCAAACAATGAAGCTCCAATAAACCATGAAGGCATAAATGGAAAATCGGAACCTCACTGTGAGGGATCAGTAATGGATGATTCCAAATTAGCAATACAAGATGAAACAGGACACAACAACTATCACAAGACTCTGGTAGACGATCCTGAAATTACTGCTATGGAACATACTTTTGATGGACCCAAAGTTGAGGAGAAGGCTTTGCTTCTATCAGACAAGGATCTAGTGATATTGGAGCCTTGGCAAGAGGAAAATGTAATAGGCCTCTCAGAATCCATCCCATCATTTGCCTCAGAAGCAAGCCCAAATAATGCTTTGCTGCAATTTGTTCATGCTGATTCTGTTCACAGTTCCCATATGCAACCGAATGACACTTTTGATGGACCTGTACCTGAGCAGGAATCCTCCCTTGCATCAGCCAAGAAACCAAACATATTGGAGCCTCAAAAACAGGAAAATGTAACAGTTCTCTTGGAATCCATTCCATCATATACCTCAAAAGCAAAACCAAACAATGCTTTGCAACAGTCCATAGAAGGTGGTTCTGTTACCAGCTCCCATGTTCATGCTGATAATGTAATTATACAATCTGCCTCATCCCCTATAGTGAAAGACATCGAAAATGACCATCATGTGGTGCTATCAAATGAGGTTGGTCAGCCCCAATTTGATGTTGCCAAGGCTTCCATTATAACAACAGAGATCATCGACCCTTCTAAACATCTTAAAAGGATCAACACAAACAAAGGTCTGATAGATACAGCAGCGCCTTTTGAATCTGTGAAAGCTGCTGTTTCCAAGTTTGGTGGAATTGTTGATTGGAAGGCACATAAAGTCCAGGCTGTGGAGGTATACTGTTTTCCAGGTTTATTCCTTCCGTTTATAGTTCTGTTCTAACCATATTATTGTAGCTTTGGTTGTCTAGTTAGTCCTTTACTTTGACCAAGTTCGACTAACTTCTAACCATGGAAATTATTTACATCATTGCATGTATCAATCTCTGTGTATCTACCTTTTCCAATGCTGCTAGAGCAGCCAGAGAACAAAGAAAAAATATTTTATAAGTTTTGGTAATGTAAAATGTCTTGTATTTCTTATTACATGAAGAAATTGTAATGTATTTTTTTTTTACTCACTTCCAAATATTGTCTTTTTTTTTTTTTGAAGTAAATTATTGGCTTTGATAGGCCAATTTATTCCTTAGTATCCTTACTATCGTGGCAATGCACAAGACTGTGGGTTCCCTTTGAAGAGATGCATCTATACATATTCAAAAAAATAACTCAATATTTGTCCGCATCACTATGCAGAAACGCAAGATTATAGATCAGGAGCTTGAGAAAGCACATGAGGAGATTCCAATGTATAAGACACAGTCTCAGGCTGCTGAAGATGCCAAAATTCGCGTTTTAAAGGACCTAGATGGCACTAAGAGACTCATTGAAGAATTGAAACTCAACCTTGAGAGAGCACAGACAGAAGAGCAACAAGCAAAACAGGATTCTGAACTTGCCAAGCTCAGAGTGGAAGAGATGGAACAAGGGATTGCTGATGAGGTTAGTGTGGCAGCAAAGGCACAGCTTGAGGTTGCCCGTGCCAGGCATGCATCTGCTGTTTCTGAGCTGAAAACTGTGAAAGATGAGTTGGAAGAACTTCGTAAAGATTATTCTTTATTGGTGACTGAGAGAGACCTAGCTGTTATGAGAGCTGTTGAGGCTGTTTCTGCATCCAAAGAAGTTGAGAAGACAGTGGAGAAATTGACAATTGAGCTAATTGCCACAAAGGAATCTTTGGAGTCTGCACATGCTGCTCATCTGGAGGTAGAAGAACAAAGAATTGGTGTAGCTATAGTAAGAGAGCAAGATGCTGTCAATTGGGAAAAGGAATTGAAGCATGCAGAAGGGGAGCTGGAGAGACTAAACCAGCATATTTTGTCAGCAAAGGATCTCAAATCAAAGCTAGATACTGCTGCAGCTTTTCTTGCAGACTTGAAATATGAATTAGGAGCTTATATGCAATCAAAATTGAAGCCAGAAAATAATGATGAAGAGCACTTGAATGGTGACCCGGAAGAGGAACTGGAGAAGAGGACACACACAGAGATACAAGCAGCAATTGTGTTGGCCAAGAAAGAACTTGAAGAAGTGAAACTCAACATTGAGAAAGCCACATCTGAAGTAAATTGCTTGAAGGTGACAGCCACATCATTAGAGACGGAGGTGGAAAGTGAAAAGTCTGCTCTTGCAACCACTAGGCAGAGAGAAGGAATGGCATCAGTAGCAGTTGTATCTCTTGAAGCAGAGTTGAGCAAGACTAAGTCAGAGATTGTTGTTGTTCAGATTAAGGAGAAAGAAACAATAGAGAAGATGGTAGAGCTGCCCAAGCAATTACAGGAGGCAGCTCAAGAAGCAGATGAAGCCAAGTCATTTGCTCAAATGGCTCATGAGCATTTATGCAAGGCAAAGGAAGTAGCAGAGCAAGCAAAGGCTGGAGCAAGTACCTTGGAGAGTAGACTACTTGCAGCTAGAAAGGAGATAGAGGCTGCAAAGGCTTCGGAGAAGTTGGCATTGGCAGCTATCAATGCTCTGAAAGAGAGCGAATCAGCTCAAAGCACCAATGACATGGATTTGCCAGCTGGAGTAACTCTTTCTCTAGAAGAGTACTATGAACTCAGCAAGCAGGCCCATGACGCAGAAGAACAGGCTAATGTGAGGGTGGCCACTGCCATCACCCAAATTGAGGTAGCCAAGGAATCTGAGTTGAGAAGCTTGAAAAAATTAGAGGAAGTTAGCTGTGAAATGGGTGCACAAAAGGAAGCACTGGAAATTGCAATGCAGAAGGCTGAGAATGCGAAGGAAGGGAAGTTGGGTGTAGAACAAGAATTGAGAAAGTGGAGGGCTGAGCATGAGCAACAACGAAAAGCTGGTGATTCTGGTCACGTGGCAGTGAATCCTATTAGGAGTCCAAGGACAAGCTTTGAGGAAAAGAATGAATCGAAGAACTTTATCCAGTTGCCAGATGCTGTATCTATCTATCAGAGTCTGAGTCATAAGGCATTTCCGCCTGAAAGTAACACTGAAACCGATTCTTCCTCAGACGTTAAGGTTGCGAAGAAAAAGAAGAGGTCGTTCTTCCCTCGGATTTTCATGTTCTTGGGCAGAAGGAAGGCTGCTCATGCAGCCAAGTCAACATGATCTCCCATCAATGCTGGTACATGTGATCCTTGATGTTGTGTGCTGCCTTTACTTTTTGGGCAGTTTCTTGCAGTGACCAGAAAATGTGTACATTTTGACAGAGTTTCTCTATTGTACATGTTGGGTATGGTATATTCTTTGTATGATAATTTGATTGGATTATATATATATACTTTTTTTCTTTTTTATTTTATTTGATCAGAAATGTGATATTGTTTTTGACTGGAGGGTTTGGAAAGAGTTTATAAGTAATCTGTAATGCATCACTTGCTTGCGACACTAGAATGTCATTCTAGTTTATTTTGCTTGAGATTCTTACAAGTTTTGATCTAATGAAAGAATCTGGAGTTCTTTCGGAGCTGGTTTTTTTGGCGTTGTTTAGAAAATTGAAATTATGATTCTCTCATTTTGTGTAGCTATGGCTATGGGTATACACAAGAAAGGTTATGCTATACAAACATAATTTTTGTATATAAATTACATAAAAGAATGTGGGTTTTTGTGATCTTTTAATTTAATTCTGGAGCTATGGTCCTAGTTCAAGAGGAGAGACCCATCCCTGAGTTACTCTTTTTTTTTTTAAAGATCTAATCAATTTGATGAGTTACTCCTAAAGGTTCAAATCAATGTATCCTCTATTTTGACTAATAAAGATGTTGATAGGTCATCTTTTAATAAAAAATAAAGAACTAAACGAAACACTAATTCTGTAGAACAATAGATTGTTAAGGTATTGTATCACAGGGACTGTGAGCTGAGTTGTAACAATTCAATTGGTAATTTCCAAATTTATTTGGAGAAGAGAGGATGATTGATTTTAACTGATAAGAATTTAAATTAAAACTAAATTAGTTGTGTGAATAAAAATGAGTTGTTTCGAATTTGGAGAGAGACTTAAGATCTCAAATATACTACTAATCGCATATTACATCATTTAAATATCCAATTCTAGTAAATTAGTGGCCTGGATAATAATGATGTATCTTAACTACAAGCTTTGATAACATCACCAAGAAGATGAGTATATTCAAAAAGTAGGCACGAATTATTTTCAGTTCGCATGAATTGTCCACACTAAATTAGGGTTGCGGCACGACTCATTTTCTCTAAGTATGACTCGTCTCACGGTTTGTATATATAAAAAAGTAAACCAGTTATATGATCATGCATTCTCAATCACAGAAAATTGAATACATAAATCGAATGAAAAAATTGTTTGAAGAAAAGATCTAAAACGATCATACAATAATTATCTAAATCTAAAGAAAAACTAGAATTTAAATACAAAATTATATAATACTTGATTAGAATTTCATCTCGATCCTAAGAAGAAATGTTAGGCGCTCATGGAGAGGTTGAACACTTCAAGAGTAGAAGAGAACGCCATGGATTGATGATTGATCTTGCTTTTCTAGTTCTTTAGTCATTGTCTCTAGGGTTTCAGATCCCTAAAACAAGTTCCAAACTCTCTTTTTATCATCTCCAGTCAAATAAAAAAATATGTGCACACAAAACAAGACGTAAGATTTAAATATTCTGTTTGAGCAGATTGAGTCAAGGAGAAAACATGTTCACGGAAATCTACTCATGCAGTTACTGAATTCTACTCGAGCAGATTGAGTCTGTCAAGAATGTTTCTCTTTTCACATCTTTTTGCCATGTTTTCGTCTCCGAAGTGATATTAGTCTGAAGAGAAAGAAAAACACTTTATTTTATCAAATATTATAAGCTAAAAGACTAAAAAACATAAGTTAGGGAGTCTCAAAGTGTAACATTTTGGCTCAGATCATATGTCATTATTATATTATTATGGATGAATTTTATGTATAAAAAATATGTTTGTGAATCATTTTACCATATGAGAAACAAGAAAATTAGGGCATTGTTAATGACTGTTCGTTTGGTAAGTCCTGATTCAGAAGTCACATTTTTAATGACTCTTCGTTTAGCATCAAACAACTTCAAATCCCTCAATAAGGGTTTCATTAAAACTGTCATTTGGTATTCTTTTGAGTTTTGAAGGGGTCACTTGGTCAGCTGTGACTTGTGAGAGAAGAATGGGAGGAAGTGCTTTAAATTGATTTGGCAAATCCAATCACACCTAATACCTTGCATCTAATTTTTTGATCGTAGATGTACAGTACAAGCGATCTAGCAATATTTCTTTGTTTTGAACACTAGTAGAAATCACAACAATGCATAAGAACGAACTTCATGCAACGAAAAGTCCACTTCCACTTCTCCCTTATAACAATCTATAAATCTATTTCGTACCGGTCAAGTCTGACGTCTACTCATTTGAGGTTCTTTTACTTGAAGCCACCATCACAACATCTGTATCTAACGCCTAGTGATTTGATTAATTGGGTCAGGTCCTGCAGCGAAGACGATGGAGGAGAAGACAACCGTTTGGGAATGCTTTTTGAGGTGGCTATAGCTTATAGTGCAATGCCACCGGAGCAAAGACCCACAATGTGGCAAGTATTGAAAATGAGAGATTAAAGATGTTGTTATGATAGAGGATAACGAGTCTGATCCCCTTACAGGGACGGCCTAGTGTAGGAATGCAGTGTTGGCCAAATATTACTTCGATAATAGTTAATTTAACAGAATAATAAAACAGAACAGATAATATAGTATGAGCAAAATTTTATCTTAATAGAATAATAAAACAGATAATAATTAAACACAGAACTTAGTGTTCAGTTACAACTTTCTTCAGAATCAAACTTAAATCAAATGTTGTGATTGAGGCTAGTGTTTGGAGACTGTGTCTTTAAGACAGAAATTCATCCTCTCCTAGGTGCTTGAGAATTACGGACGTCCTGCCTCCAGGATTCAACAATCACCCCAAACAGATGCAGCACTGCAAACTGATTGTACAGCGAACTAGGCTGTGGTATTTTGAACTCACACTAGATACAAAATGACGAATGTATGTTACAAAGAATGGAGAAGACTGAAACGAGAAAAATTCTATGTTTCTATCTGGAATGGAGGGTTGATATATATATAGGCTGAGAAGTGCCTAAACCGGAACAGATGACCGTTGAAAAGAACAGTCACCAAGTTGAGACGCGACTGTTGGAGAAGGAGAAAAGTTGCAACCGAAAAATTTAAAATCAAAATATCAGATTTTGAATTTTTTTCCCGCTGAAAATTATTTGGAAAAATTCATATAATTTCGGAGCAAAAATAAAGGACGGGTTAGACCCATACCCACACCCGCGCCCGCCCCGACCCGGCCGGACGGCGGCGGCGGCACGCGTGTGTGGTGATGGTTTTGGGTTTGTCCATAACTCCTCCTCCTACAAAACTTGGGTACCCCTTGGGCCCAACCCAAGGTCTCCAACTTAGAGCTTATAAACATATTGAAACTCTCCTATGTTTCCTATGTGGGACAAGGTTATAGATACCAACCCATGGGAACCATACCAAACATTTTCATGTTTCTAAGGCTCACTTCGGTATCAATTTCTCATTCACTCGTAAATGGTTTTGACCACCTGAGTATATATTCTTGTTCACCACATGGCAAGAAACGTATTGCCACTCGGACCCACCCAAACCGAGGTGTGGGACCTACATTAATGATAGCTCAAAATTACCGAAAATTAATGGTGATAAACCATTTTTTCTCTAACAATCCCCCACATGAATGAAATTGAAAACGAATATGCAACAACATGCAGACACTGAGAGTACAAAACTGAAAATATCCTGCAAAGGGTGGGTAGGTAGCTTTTGGCTTTGAACCTTCCCTTGTGAAAGACGATCGGGTTTACTGGCTGATTAGTGAACATGATGTCTTGAACTATTCTGCCATTGGTGTAAACCGAGACAACAGTCTGTCACACAGTTTTATTTCCTTACACAATCTGGTTCTATCGGTTGTGCCCATTTTGGCCCTGGACAATTCCTGGTTTTCCTGAGTGCTCTAGAGATTTAGCCTTTTTTTTTTCTTTTTTTTTCCAATTCTCATAGAACCGGCCCAGTTCACACTCATATAGGTGATTCTCATTAAGAGTATTCTGCTATACCCCACTTGGATTTCCAAGATATGAATATCATTAAAAGCAAAGCTTAACCTAATTAGCGCTACAGACATCACTATGTCATCATAGGAAAGGGTAGGAAAATTTTCTCTTAGTGATACTAACGAGTCGCACATAATTCGGTTGTCCCTTTGAACCTAGATTTTGGGATCTCCAGTCAACTAGGTTGGGTTTCCATTAAGGTGACTCTTTAGTTAAAAGGCTTTAATCACATTCCCCTCGATGATCTTAAAACTTGCTCTCTGGTCAAACCTTTGGTTAACGGATCTGCGATATTATCTTTTGACCTTATGTACTCAATGGAGATAACTCCATTTGAGAGCAGTTGCCTAACAATATTATGTCTACGTCGAATATGACGAGACTTACAGTTATACATATTATTTTGTGCGCTTGCCATTGCTGCTTGACTATCGCAATGAATGCAAATGGCTAGCACAGGTTTTGGCCACATGGGGATATCCTCTAGAAAGTGACGAAGCCACTCTCCTTCTTCACCTGCTTTATCTAAAGCTCCTTGAGAACACACATTAACAAAATATAAGTACTTAATTACTGAGTATTTTAAACATAGGTATTTTTAGAGGCTGCCTTTTATATTCGAAGAATGAAAAAATTTTATGAAATATTTCTATGATATTTTTTTTCTAATTCATAACATTACTCTTCAAAATATGTTTAAAAAAAAAAAAAAAATCATTGTACTGTCTACCCCCCCTCTACTCGCATACTACCCACTATCGCTGGCTATGGGCCACCATTTTCCGGTAAGAGTTAGGTTCATAGGATCCATCACGAGTTTTGTTTTGATGATCTGAGCGATTCATTTTGTAAGGATCTCAATGTAAATCATCTATGAAAAAAATTAAGTTAATTTGATAATTATAACATTTTTATTTTGTCGCATTTGTCTCTGAAAACATAAACGATAAGTATGTTTTTAAAAATAGACCATCAATTTTTTTTGAGACAAACACAAATAAAATAAAGTGGTTATAACTATTGGATCGACCTAATTTTTTTCATAGATGATATACACGAAGGGTCATACAAAATAAATAGTTTGAATTATCAAAACGTGATATGTGGATTTTGTGGTCCCTTCAAATTCTCACAGGTTCAGATTTGACTTTAATAGAAGTTCAACCATTTGAGTAACTTTTTCGATGATTATTTTTTGGAGGATGTTTTCAGCAACGAATCTTCTAATAGGGATATCCTCTAGAAAGTGTTTT